CCTTGTACGGATACCCTGTGCCTGTCCACGGAAGACCCCCTTTGAGCCCTGCCAGAGAAGAAACCCATGCGTCGCCAGATCGGAGAGAGAGAGACTGTGTGTGTGTGATGGTGTGCGGTGCCACAAACGCCCGTGCCAGTCCCGCGTTCCCTCTTGTCCAGTTCTGTCGTGAATTCCAGCCAGTCATGAGCCCGGCCGGAATTTCTTGGCCCGAACGTCCCTTATCACCCCCACACCTTGGGAACTTTTTTGGCTCGGGTGGATTCAAATCGTCAACGCTTCTTCCCCAGGCCTTGAGCAGGATCCTTGATCCTTGCCCTCTCCGTCTGTTCTCCATCCTGGTCCTGGTTCATCCTGCCAGCCAGTCTGCTTTTACCCCGATGCCCTTGATCCGTCCGTTCCCCTCCTCTCTACCTCGATGGTAGTGACTGTCTATTGGGGCTGTTGTGTGGCTGTCTACGAGGTAGTACAGTAGAGCAAAGCTACTGCGTCTACGGAGTACACTACATCTCTATCCTTCCCCCTCCCCCTCCTCCTCCTCCGTCATCGTCCTTCAACTGCCCGTTCTCTGCAGCATGCGCGTGGAAGCAGTTTGCAGCTCTTAAAGCTGTGGAAGCAGCGGGCATCCTTCGTCCCTGCAACGGTGACCTCCTCCCTCCTCCCCCTTGGACCCCTTCAACAAGGTCCAACGGGTTCGCTGGCTGGGCTGGGGGCAAGCAAGAATATCGAACCTCTCCAAGCTCTAAGTGTCTCTACACTAGTGCCGCACATCAAATACAACAAACCGAACGGCACTCCAGGCCGTCGATTTTGCTTGGCTCGGTCTGGAGCAACCGAGCTGACAAGGATCATGAATGCCATATCCGTAGTGCATACGGAGTACAGGAAGTGGAGAGTGCTACGGGGTCGAGAACGATTCAGACTGACTCTGCAACTTTGCTTTCTCACTCTTTCGGTCTCCTCCTCTCTTGATATCATATCACCATCGGCCTCCTCCGATCCCAAACTCATGCTGCACGGTCATCATTCCGTGCTCCTTCAGATCCGAGTATTTTCGCACAGACGGGGGACAGCACAATTAAGCAGTCCATCAACCACTTTACCGTGATTAAGTCATGGAGAAAAAAAGAACGAGGCACGGATAAAGCATACCGCGTTCTCCAAACCCTCCTCCCCTTGCTCTAGTCCTCAGGCACATGGGTGATGGGATCGCGCCGCCCACATGCGCCTCCCGCTCCAAACGGCGCTTGGAGCGATTGCGACTGGACAGAGACCAGGTCCCCTAGGACAAGGTGGTGGACCTAACTTGGTCGAAGCCGTACAAGTCTTGGACCGGGGGAGAGCGGGAGGGCAAATACCTGGGTACCTACCTTACCTTACTCTCCTCCACACCCCCTTCGTCTATTCCCATCCCACCCCCTATCTCTTGTACATAGTGTACACTAAACTCCCTCGTCCATTTGCACCCCCCCCCCCTTCCCTCACCACTCAGCTTGCGCCTGCGTTCTACACAGCTCAACGCAATGAGACGCTGGAACATGATGGCAAGTAGTCCGTGGAATAGAAGCATACTGGGAGGCTGGACCCTGACTTGGAGTTGAGGGGTGAGTGAGGAGGATCCGCCGCGCCGCCGCCTGGCGGTTGTTTCGGTACCGCAACGCAGGTACCATCGTGATAGAGCACGCCATCACAACGCCATCGACCTTCCAGCGCTGTTAAACTTGGCTACTTGAGCTTGCTGTGTGAGAGAGTCTTGCTCTGTGAGAGGCGCATGTTAGTATAGAAGTCTCTTGAAGATTACGATGTTGGCAAGATCAACGTGTGCATGATGAAAACCATGTTCGCCTTCTCATGGTGTTTGTATTCTGGAAACGATCTCCATCAAACTTCCCAAGTCATCCCCATTTCCATGCAATCAGCCAATCTTGAGGCTTACACGTCCAAGAGACGACCCTATTTGCCTCCCAGTTCCCTTGATTAACGCCGCATCATAAGTATGTATGCCCACAAAGTCGTCGAAGCTTGCTATTGTACAGGTTTACAGATCAGATGGATCACATCACCACTATCGCCCCTCTCTCTCTCTCATCTCATCAGTCGTGACTTCCAAGCCCCAGCTTGCCAGCCGGAGCAAGGGGAAAAAAAGAAAAACACATTCGCTCACTCCGACATCTCTCTCTTTTGCGCGTGACTCGTGGTCGTGCTTCCCAAATTCCCCTTGCTCGCTCTTTTTTTGGTGTTCCCTTTCTCACTTCCCCTGCAAAAACTCCTTGGTGATCCATACCATCCAGCTCCGCAAGGCGAAGCGAGCTGCAGCAAAGTTGCAGTAAAGTAAAAAAGACACCCTTAAAACATGATCCACTCCACCTCAACACCGGGACCCCCGATGCACCTGGTCCAGTTGAACGGACCCCGGCGCATCGCCTCGAGCTTGACGGCCGCCGGGCTCCGAGGTTCGTTGTCCTTCCACTCGCCCGCCCACAGCCTCTCCAGCACGTCGAGCGCGGCCAGGTTGTTCATGTAGCCCGAGCGCGCCATGATGTCGCGGCACTTGCTCCGGACAATGTTCTGCTGGAGCTCGTTGACGCACTCGCTGCCCGCAACGAAGAGCGGCCACAGAAGGAACTTCTCCGCCTGGCTGCCCGCCTCCAGGCTCGTGGCGTAGTAGACCACCTGCGAGACCAGGTTCTGGAAGTTGCTGTGCGTCGAGGGGACGTTGGGCGACGCCAGGCGCTCCGTGTACAGCAGGGCCGCGTAGCGGAAGGCCTCGGACAGGGAGCCCAAGTCCCGGACCTGGGCTGGGGTCGCGGGGGAGGGGAGAGAGGCGTGGAGGCGGGCCGAGTCGAACTCCCAGCTTTGGAGGGCAACGCGAGCCTCTTTCCACTCTCTCCAGAAGTTGTTGCGGTTGTCGTCGTACGTTGCCGAAGAGCAGAGTGTCGAAGAGACAAACTCGTCATCGTCCAGGGTAGAGCCGAAGCCATTGCCGTCGAAACGGTGACCCGGCAAGCTGTAGATGTCACCGAGTTGCTGGTGGTGCAAGCCGTTAAGGTTGCTCTTGAAGGAGTGACCCAGGGGCGAGCTGAGTGGTGACTGCGAGCGCGAAGGTATGTTGCGCGCCATGGGGCTAGTGACGAGGTTCTGGACCGAGCGGTGTTGAGAGAGGAGGTTAAGTCTGCCCAGCTTGCTGATGGTCTTGAAGAGCTCCCGGTCACAGCCGACGAGGTTCTCGGCGCCAGGAGGAAGCAGCTGAGCGTCGGGCATGACGCCGTAGAAGGTAGAGTTAAGCTGAGCCTCTCGGTCATTGATGCTGGCCGAGATGGCGTCAAAGTAGGTAAAGATAGCCTCCATCCATGCAGAGTCGCGGGAAGGCGCCAAGTTCTGTGATCGCCGCATAGAGAGAATCTTCTTGACGCCGGCGAACTGGGTGTGGAACTTGGCGATGCCCGACTCCACCATGCGGTAGTGGCAGAGAAGCAGGATCGTGGCGAGGACAGAGTCGTGGCTGGACTTGGCCGGATCGTTGAGCTGCTGGTTGAGAAGGTGAACGGCCAGGTTCCGGTGCTGGTACTCCTCAGAGAGGGATTGGTCCTCGGGCTGGGCATCCGCCATGGACTCGGCAGTCGACTTCTCAGCCATGAGCTTCTCGGAGAGCTCACGTGTGTCCTGACCCAAGCTGAGTCTTCGTTTCATCCGCAGGTTGCAGGCTGACAGGGCGCAGATGGCATGTTGCAGGCTCTGACTACTTGAAGCCAGGTGGAGAATGTGTTCTCTGTAGGGGTTGCTGGGACCGTCCATGAAGACCATGCCCGGGCACATAATGTTCTTGTAGTAGTCCATGAAGAAGGGCATCTTTGCAATGAGGTCAGAGTTGACGTGGACGGCCTGCGGCTCGAACATGGTGGGCCACTGAGCCGAAGCGTGGTGATCCGAATGATGCGGTGACATCTCCTCCGGAGGGGGCGATGTCCAAACATGGCCGTTGGAATTGCAGCTCGTGCTGTATGCATCCATCTCGGGTACGCCTAAAAGTCGTCACGTCAGCGAGTCTGATCCTAAAGCAGAGCAGCCGGACAGGGCGTCTTACTCAAAGTGTCACACTCCCGCATCAGTTTCTGACTCAACTGGCTTTCGAAGTTGTCCATGTGTGATGTGAGACTGGAGCTGTGTTCGGATGGGGCGTACACAAGGCTCGGGCACGACGTCGGGGCGGCTCTCTGGTCAATAAGAATGGCAGAGATGGGGCTTTGGGGCACCGGCGAGCCGTGGGTGCTGTAGCCGTCGTACATGACGTTGGGGCTGTGGAGGAAGGGAATGTCGTCCCTTGAGTAAGAATGGCTGATGGGGGACATGTAATCGCCATCGCTGACGGACTCGAGTGAGGAAGACAGCGCGCTCGAGATAGGAAGAGGTCCCAGGTGAGCACCCAGCTTCCTGTAGTTGGGACCATCCGTCGGCATACTATTTGAGTACGGGAGACCACCCCAGTGTCCAGCAGTCATTGATGGTGTGTGCTCGGGGTGTGACATGGAGAGCATGTCGTAGCTGTGAGGGTAGGGTGTCGTGGGTGTTGAAACAACGTGCTCCGGTGAGAAGCCGGCGTCGTTACGCGGACTCCTTCGAGACATGTCGTCTGCATCGGCCCAGCCTGCGCTGGTAGCCGTGGAGTTTGCGCGGGGACGCGAGGGTGACTTCTTTGCAACTCCGGCCACGGGAGGTGCCTTTGCTATGGGAAGAGACAGGCCGCGCAACTTGCCTCTGCTGGCAACGCCAACGCCCCAAGTCAGCTGGGTCTTGTAGCCTGAGCACTCGTTGCCAATCTCGAGACATTGTGAGCAGTAGGGCCGTCTGCGGTCACACTTGACGTTCCTCTTGGAGCAGGTGAAGCAGTCGTCGGCAGCGCCACCGGCGGGAGCGCGTCTTCTCCTTTTCCGGACCGAGGCAGCAGCGGCAGCATCTTTAGCTTGCGCGGATTGTTGTTGAGTTATGGGAGCGGTCATCTTGTCTAGTGTTCAAGTTGAATGTGGGACGAAACCGTGGAATTGCGTTTTATAACACGTTTGTGAGACCGGCTGTCAGTCAGGAAGGAGGCAGGATGATATCGATGTCGAACACTAAGGCAGTCCGGCAATGGTACGTAGGAAGTGATGGTATTCTGGGAAAAGATGGTATACCGCTAGAGGTAAGAGAGCAAAAGATGAAAGCGAGAGGATAAGTCAAGAGGCACAGTAATACATCCAAGTGTGGCAAGCCTCGGGGACGAGGAGTGTATATATGTATCGAGAGGTGGTGAGCGTTCTGGTTGGCAACCATTGGCTACATGGATGAGAGATTGGCTAGAGATATACAAGCGGCGTGCGAGGATCCTGGGCCTCAGCAAGCAACTCGTCCGGGGGAGAGAAGCGGGTATTGCACAGGCAGTCTGAAAGTACATCATGTGCGTTGACGGGGGGTAGGAGGCAACTTGAGAGAGAGAGAAAGAGCACCGATGGGGGTGGGGGGGCAGAGAGAATGAGTGCAAGAGGATGCTTGGAGGAGCACAGCACCCAGCATAGCATGGCAAGAGAGAGAGAGACAAAGTGAGTGAGAGAGACCAGGGGCGGGCGACTTGGACCGATGGAGAGAAACCTACGTGAAGGCGAGCTGGGTTGTCTGGGTGTGTGAGAAGAGAGCAGCGTTCGGGGAGTGTGCCTCGTCTCTGGGTTCCTGGCCGTTCTCTCGATCTTAGTGGATGCGGGAGGTAAGAGCTTGAGAGACACAACGAAGAGTGGGAGGCAAGGCTAGAGAGGAGCGGCGGGCAGAGCATAGCGAGTGGGAGTCGAGAATGGGAGGATGAAGATGAGCAGATCAGCGGGTCCGTTGCCAGATGTCTGAAGAGCAGGGGATCCCTAGGGTAGGCAAAGAGGGAGTCCCCATTTCATTGCAGGCACAAGAGCCCAGGGCCCTCGACTGTGGGCTGTGGCTACTGCTGTATCCGTAGGTACCTTGCCTCTCGCTGGCTTGCCCGCGATTTTAGGTTGTTCTGGTCAAGATGTGGCCGGACGATGCGACAGGGACCCCCTGTCATCCAGACTTTGGAGGGGTTGCATGCCTCATCCATCACCCCCCAAATTTCAAAGTGTGTGCGGTGCGGTGCGGTGCGGGTGGCTTTGGTGGGCGTTCTATCTTGTTAGTAATAGTTGTCGATGTTGGGGAAGAGGAGAGAGTTGAATGCGGAGTAAGAGCCTAGAAGAAGATCAGTGTCTCCAAGATCTAATATCGAGGGCTTTCAGAATAGGCTCATAGTTGGAGAGAGAGGATAGTATAGCTGGATGCGATCTCGGACACGTCTCGTACAAGGACTGAGTGTCATATTCGCACAATACTCGGCTGGACAAAGATAGAGCGCAATCAATACGGTCGGTATCCGCTCTGCTCTCCGCTATTGAGATAGGATAAACGGAGAGAAGGAGAGGTACGCAGTAGAGGAAAAAAAAAAAAAAAAGGTTCAATCCATGGCTGGTGACATACGATGAACGGAGATCCAACCCGGTCGCCGCAAAAGAACCTGTAGCACGGGAGGGCAGCAAGATAAGACGTGATAGAGGATTGCGGGGGGGGGGGGGGGACTTGAAGGTGAGGAGACGAGACGGATAATGGTCAATGCACCCACCAGTCAAGGCAAGCAAACGAGGGACGAGAGACGACATGTTCCCTCTGAGCGGCGCTTGAGATCCCTGCTATGAGGTATTCGGCCCCAACAACTCGTATTCATCGGTCCCTGAACATTAACAGTTCCCATAACCAGCCTGCGAACCAGCCCCTACTTGCTTCCCGCCTTCGCCTGGCCTTGTACGGCGAATCTGATTCTGACAGACGAGTATCCGTAGATCGGGCAAGACGAGACACTGATGGTAGATCCATCGGAAATAGCATCATTGCGGGAGCGTCTCTGACAGTTTTCCATTTGCTAGGATTCTGACAACGTTGGCAAGTCTCAGATCAGCCCGGGCCTTGGACCAGACCAGTTGTCAGTCCAAAGTCCGGTTAAGAGAAGGGGAGAGTCGGAGACAGTAGGAGGATGAGACAGTCTTCGTTCTGCAGCCTGTCAGCGACGACTGCGCAGTCAGTCCGTCCGTCAGTCTCCAAAATGAACGTCTGCACTCGAGAGCAAAAGACTGGCTCGCCGGCTCCCAGCTGCTCCCCTTCGCGCCTAGCCTCAACCTAGCTCAGGTCCTTTTGCAAACCCACCATAAATCCACCCTGCTACTCCCTGAGCGAAGGCCCCTGCTAGCGACTCGATGCGATGCAATGCTGCTGCATCTGCCGCGCTACAGGGCAGGGCAGGACAGGGTCGGTCCATGCAAGGACAACGACAACGGCGAGGGCGGAGACGGCGGCCGTGTCCAGGGTGATTGGCAGCCCGGGGGGTCTCTCCAAGAGTCCAGCTACCTAGCCAGCCAGCCAGCTTGCGTGCTTCTTCTGCATCCAGAATCTCTACGGAGTAAGTACTACAGGCTGAGAGGCGTCTGTGAAGAACAGCAAGCCTGTGTGCAATTAACTTTCGGCCTGCTGCGGGCAAGGAACAAGGCGCCGCGAGCTAAAAACGACGCGGACAATTGTCGTCGGACGGGGGTGAGGCTGGAACGGTACTTGAAGCTTGGATGAGCGAAACGAGGAAACGAGGTCGGTATCTGTGATTTGAAGTGAAACCAAGCAAGGCCCTTTTCGTTGTACACCATCTTAGTGGTTCGAGTAATAGCGTTGGTCTGGCAGTTCTTTGCAATCCAAAGAACAAGAAAAGATGAAGGTAGGTTCAAGGTTCAATGTTTGGACGAACTGGCGGCTGCTGCTCCTCCATCGATCAACCCAACCAATGACACGGCCAAGCAGCATCTGCCAATGGAAGCGGCGTCTTGGTAGCTGGGCAATCCCGTACGGACTATCTTCGTAGCGTAGTAGCTTAGGATAGGTTAGATGACTGGATGGCCCAGTCAACAGCCGATAGGCGCCTGGGGTCGAGACTTTTGTCTGAGATGATGACTCTCGAAAGATTGCGGCGACAAGAGAAGTCGAGCAAAGGTTCATCGAGGCCCACGAACAGCGAGACGTAGGTGCCCAAAGTGAGCAGAAGAGCTGATTGCATGTGACAGAAACAGCCACGGAAATGAACACTGTGATGCTTGTCATTGCTATTGTTGCCGGGCCGTGGCTGATTTCGGTCGCAAGTCTCCTCTCTATCTGTCTCTATACGGACAGAAGATGCACCTGAAGTGAGGGCGAGGGATATGAGATGGAGTGAGCGGGTGAGGCGTACGGCGCCTGAGTCCAAGGCGAAAGCTACAAGTGAGCCTCTGTCGGCCGCCGCTGTCGGTACATAGTCTTGACGGGGAGTCCCGCGGCAAGAGGCAGGTACCTAACGGCAAGGTGTTTTGTAACTCGATCTCAACCCGTGTTCCGTGTTCCTCGGTACGCATTCCCTCGAACCGAGCTGACCAGGATGATGACGGGGGTGGTTCATCGGTCGTCTTGGAATCCACCCGCTCAACACTGACCACTTGGTGACTTTGTGACTTGTTGACAGCGCGAGGGCGAGGGCGTGGGACTCGTGGGAGTTAGGACAGGGCAGCGAGAGTCAAGTATGAGGGTGAAGCGACATGTCAGAGAGCTTCGGACATGGACGACGGGTAAACCCCCGCGCCCCACGACGGAGCAATTCTGGTCCATAATGATCCATGGCCAGCTTTTTGATGGAGATTTCCTGTTCCTGTTCCCGTTCCAGCATCTGTTCCTGATTTCCAAGCAGATGCAAGACGCCCGTGCCCATAGAGTGCCAGTGCGACAGGTATGCGCCGCGGTAGAGACTTGTCAATGGCCGGATCTGGTATGTTGGACAAGGTGATGGTTGTGGTGGAGTGGGCGATGCAGTTCGCATGTGTCTAATATCCGTGGCATACGGGTCTGGTGTATCCGTACTTTGAATCCATATCCAATATCATCGGCGGTTGTTTCGAGCGAAAGAGATTTTGTTATCTTTAGCCCAGCAACCCTGTCTGCCGATGCGCTCATTCCGGCCTACTGTAAGGTAGAGGCGCGTATGGAGCGTATGGAGCATCCCATACTTGGTACCCGTAGCTCAGCCAACATTAGAGAGCCGAATGGATCATGGCCACAGGTGATGATAGGTTGCAGTTTGTGACACCTGAAGAGAGCAGCGTACATGTATCCGTTCGTACCCATAATCCGAGTCTGTCGTGGTTGGCACGGGCTCTCAAACGCGGTAGCCGTGGGATAATTCAAAGTCTGGCTCAAGTGTCAAGTGATGAAAAGGCTTGTCGTCGTTGTGCGGTGAAGCCTATCGAGTACCTACATACAGATACACATCAAGTAATAGACTAGAGAAAGCAAACCCATGCCGGATTGGCTGGATGCGTGTTAGACGCAAGGCAAGGTGAGGGAGGTGAGTTGGGTAAGTTGGGTTGGGTTGGATCGAGGTCTACGAGATGTGGAGAGGGGGAAGGGGGAGGGGGGGTCGGAGAGGAAGGGAGGGCGGGATGCAGGAGTCCTTTTCCCGCCCGCACTGGAGAAATCTACGGCTACACTACACACCGGTACTCGAGGGAACGGCACCCGAGCAAAGATCTTAACGTTTACCTTACCTTCCCATTAGCTAATAGGAACTTTGAGGGCACACTTGCGTTTGTTCTGGTAGCGAGTAGTATCAAACGTCCAGCGTCTAATGTCTCATGTCACTGTTTAACATCTAAACTCCAAGGAACATTTCCCCTTCTCTCCTTGATACACATCACGACACCTCACAACGCAACTCGACACACTTTTCCCCCAACGTAACACTTCGGAAGAAGCATCTCATCACACCGGATCACCCTCACTCCCACCCCCAGTCCCTTCGGCCAGGGCCCTTTTCTCTAGAATGCTACAGAAGCACAGGCTACGATGGACTATGGATTCATGGAAGCCTTGGCCTGCTTGTTGGGCTTGCTGCCTTCTGGACTAGCTGCGCCGTGGCGCCTTTGCCCAGGAGCAACAGAGTGTGCCATTGCAGGATAGGTGCAGGGCATCGCATCCTCTACGCCGTGCAACAGAACGGGCGGCGCTTTTGCTAGACCTTCCATGCAGACTTCGACGCGCCTTCTGCCGTCAGGCCAGTCTGCTCAGAGGCCAACCACTTTCACGAGATGTGACTTGCAGGTCAGGCGCAAGCAAGTGCTTGTGAGAAGGGGGAAAGCCCAAGGGGAGGAAGTAAGGGGAGGAGGAGGAGGGGGGATGAAGCATGCATACGAAAGGATTGCGCTCTCTTCAGGCACACACACTCTCACACTCACAATCACAGGCTCACCCACACCTTGCCATCGTTATCGTCAGTACCTGCCTTCTGCCTTTCTTATCCTTCGGTGGCCGACGGCTTCCTTCGGTAACTCTAGGCAATAGAGAAGGAGAAGAAGGGGCGGAAAGGATGAGAAGTGAGTAGGGGGGGCAGCGGGCGTCGAGCGTTCTGGAAGCTTTGCAAAGAACCTCACAACCCGATTCTAAAGTACCATCTCGAACCTCACATCTCGTCACCGGGATCCGAGCCTCCTCTCTCTCTCTCTCTCTCACCTCACCTGGAACTCAACATCGTTTAGCGCCCTTGGTCAAGCAGTATATGCCACCCACACTTTTCATCACACTTAGTAATGGGTTACTGCACGTCTCTGAACCGCCATCCCGACTGCCGAGACTTGTCGTTGAGACCGTCGCAACGCAGAAAGTCCACCTAGCTGCTTTGGCCTCAACCATCACCGCCGTCCCATGTCCCCGTCGTCAACCTCGCTTGCGCCGCTGATGACATTTTGCACCTTCACCTCACTTGAGCTACAGCCTACCAGTATCAGGCAACATCAGCACCGCAAACACACATTCGCGGTAGTGTGACTGAAATCAGCAGCAATAGTCCGTTCTAGTATTATTGCCCTTCCGCCAGGCCCTAAGCCTGCCTGCCTGCCCGACACGATGCGGATGTATCGATCTCTCTGATGCTT